CATCCAGGATGTTGTGTCCATCCTGCAAACCTTGCAGCCCCAAACCCGCTCCATGCTGTCGGAGGTGGAGAAGCTCATTAAGCTCTGTCTGGCCCTGCCCATATCTGTCGCGGCATCCAAGCGCTCTTTCTCAGCCTTGCGCAGGCTGAAAACCTGGCTGCGCAACACCATGACGCAGGAGAGACTAACACATTTGGCCATTATGAACGCTCACAGTGACCTTATGGATGAAAGCGATGTCTCAACACTGCGCAGACTTTTTTTTTGTTCATTCAAGGTTACAAATAATGCTGTTATGTTCCTTAAATGGCTTGATTTAGTTATCAAAGTTTCATTTTCTTAACCATAAAGATGCCGTGTTCATCCATTCTGCCAACTGGATGAATGAATGAGTGACATCATTGTATTTTTTTTCCTGCTGTATAGCGCATCGCACATCGCCACTCACTAGGCTGCTGACTGGCTGCCATAAGCTACACACAAATAAAACATTAAGAAGTTCTAACAAATGCAAATTTTATTAATTTTTTTTTCCATAAGGAGGCCAACAGTAGAATTCACCACATGACAAAAGCAGACAAAAACTACCGAGCGCTATCCTTGGTGCTGAAGATGTCCCCGAGCCTGTTACAGGCAGCGGTTATAACAAAATCACTTTAAGCGCTGTCCTTGGTGCTGATGTACAAACAATCAAATGTCTATACTCCAAAACTCACTACCTCTGACATGACGAACCAAGACAGTGTACACAGATAAAAAAAAACAACATCAGCAGAAAAACTGACCAACAGCAAGCGGCGATCACCATGGCCAAATAACGTCGCATATCTGTAATAAAGAAATAATAACAAGACAGCTGTTGACAACTAGCTGTTGCTGCTGCAGTTACTATTAAACGTGACTGGTATTAATAAACAAGCAGTAAATGCACAGTGGGGGTTATTTGTTTTCTGTATCGGCGTGACGCGCTGTGTTAATTGAGTGAATCGTCCGAGCTGGACGCGTGTTAATTTGAGTTTGTTTTAATTTAATTACACTAAAGCTGTTGCGTTAAACTAACCACATGAGTTTTTGTTACAAGCTGATGAATTCGCTGGTCAAGGCAGGCCAAACAGGTGAGATGACAGACAGATGGATGGTTTGTCTCTAACAAAATACGTGCTGCAAGAACGGATTCATGCTTGATACATCTGCAGCCAGAGCGCATTACGCTGTCAATAGGCTTTATGTGTGGGGAATACCGTGTTATCCAAATAAGGACATGTACGTCACATATAGCAGATGATGTGATTTCCCGTCGATGAGCAGGATCACTTAACCGTCGCCTGTGAAGTTGTAACCGGGCTAGTCTTCTCCTTAAATGACGAGGACTAATCTGAATGCCTAACAGAAAGACACAATACAATTTCTGCCTGTGTTAGACCTTGACTGAAGTAGCCTACATCCTGATGCGTTGATAAATAATGTGATCTGCCATTTTCACCTCCCTGGGACACCAGTGGCAGCTCTTGTAGGCTGAAATCAGGACGATCACATTAACCAGCGCGCAATCATCAGACTTGACAATTATCACGAGAAAACAATCTTTGTTATCTCGAGATAACGAATTAATTAATACGTTATCTATGAATATGTATGCTGAAATTTTCAGCATACATATTCTGATTTTCCAGGTTGTCCTGAAAAAGAAAGATATTCATTACTTGACTGTACTTGAAAGGGTTGAGATTACACATATTGTACATTAATACAAAGAGAGATTATATGAGACCACTTATTAGTTTTGTAAATATTGGCTATAGTAAGAAATGTGATTGTTAGATTCAAATTAATTTGATAATTTGGCCATCTAATAAAGATAAATGTTATGTTGTTGGTTGTTAAAACTCACAACCAAGCCAAGGTGCCAGAAAACCACATGTGAAATAGTGTGAAAAAGAGGATCTGCACACTTGGATCAATGCAAGTATCTTTAATTCACCAAGCTTTCGGTCCGAGGACCTTCGTCAGGGTAACAGTCTGCACCTGAGAACAAAGAACAGTCTTATGTGGTTGATCAAGGCGGTCAGCAACACCTGTGCTGTGCCACTCCTGCTTAGATGGGAGATGTAGTTCAAAAGCAGGGTGTGTAGTCCTCTCTGCACAGCAATAGATTTCGAGTACAGGAAACACTCCACAAGAACCATGCGCAGATAACAACTAGACAATAGAGAAAAAACAGAGAAAAAAAATATATACATATATACACAGTATAACAAATAGAAGATTGAATCTATGCATACCCCTAAATAAAGGGTTGGGAGTGGAGTGTTTCCTGTACTCGAAATCTATTGCTGTGCAGAGAGGACTACACACTCTGCTTTTGAACTACATCTCCCATCTAAGCGGGAGTGGCACAGCACAGGTGTTGCTGATCGCCTTGATCAACCACATAAGACTGTTCTTTTTCTCAGGTGCAGACTGTTACCCTGACGAAGGTCCTCAGACC